TTCACTTTTTGCCATCATTTCCATGGTGTTGAAGATCAAATGTATGGATGCTGGGGTACAGTCTCAGATGAAAATTTTTCTCAGGGTTCCCATTGGAAAGCTTGCAAAATTATATAGTACAGAAATTGTTTCTGGAAAAAATAGGGAGAAAAGGCCTCAACAGATTCCTATTGATGGAACTGTTGAGAGTAAAAATTTCCTACAAAGAATGAATAGACCTGGAAATATACCTGATTTTTACTAAGTTTTCTTTGACATAATACTGATAATTTTTTTTTTTTGCATTTTGTTCTGAATCCACAAAGTTTTCTTGTTTTGAGTGACCAGGATCTACAACAATGTTTTTTTGTTTTGTTTTGTTTTTCCAGCAAAGCTAACCTGTGTTCACATTTTCTCTCCCCTTGATACCAACACAGCATGAAAATAGTGATAGTAATTTTTTTACTACTTATTTCAGAATCTATTTTTGCATAACTTCCATAGGGATTTTGTTTGCTTAAACTAAAACAATTGGACATGAGTGTCATTGTGTGGCTTTGAGTGGAATCTTCCAAGAAGTTGAAACAGAGCTGGACCAAGAAGAGGAGAACCTGTTGCTTTGTCCATAGGTTCCAGAGACCCCCTAAGGGAGGTGAGGAAGCTGCCTCCATGGGCAGGACTGGACAACCCGGAAAAAGAAAAAACCCTGGTATCCCCGAGAAGAGGAAGCCCAGGTGGAGTCTGATGAGACCAACTTTGTTCTTGAAGCCTACATGCACTGTATGTCAAGAGTTTGGTCTGATACTTTATTGAGTATTCCAACAAAGCAGCTAAAATTGCTGTTTAGTTATTCTGCCCTGTGATTTTATGCAAAAATGGGTAATATGGTTTAAAAGTAGATTTGGATTGCAAACTTTTGCTATGCTGTTGAGACAATTTGGGATCAAGATTGAGAGAAACTGTTTTTGCATAAGTTGAATCAGTTTTAATATTTTTCCTGTGATTGGTTATCTTTCCTGTTTTTTTTGGCTAATGACTCCAGATGTTTTTTTTGTTTTGTTTTGTTTTTTGTTTTTGCCTTGGACCGATAAACTATTTCGCAGGAATGGAGGACTTCTGCTTTCCACAGTGAACTATACCTGTAGAGACTGGTTTGCTTTCCAGTGAATGTAAACATTAAATATGACTGCTAGATATTGAAGTTTTGAACACATGTAAATCTTTCCAGTGCTCTAGACTCATACTAGAACAAGCTTTATATAATATGAAAACATAGAAATTTTATAAAATTCAAGTTTTTAGGAAATATATATAGCATTTAGGAAAATTTATAATAAAATAGATCAATAATAATTATATCGGTGTAGATACCCATGTTCCTGCAAAAATGTATCAAATTGTGAATATATGTCTAATATATATGTATTCAGTGCTCTTACCCTGTGATATTGCACTTAAGAGGCTTAATAAGTTCATATTTTATTCCTTAGGTGACTAGAGAGAAATAAAAACATCATAATATAACATTGATTTGAACATAGAGTAAAATGTCATACATTGTTTTATTTAATAGCTACTTGGAGCTCATCAAACTAGTAATTTTAAACATCTTTATCATTTGTTTTAAAATGATGCAGTGTTTTTTTTTTTTTCCCTGAAGTAGCAAATGGAACTGTCTTAGAGGTCTAAGTATCCAAAATAGTCCCACCCTTTTAAGAAAGAAGATCCTGTTATGGCTTCATTTAACCTGCCCTGACACTCTAGCTACAGGACAAGCCAGAGCTTTCCCACAGTGTTACACTGGATTCAGGTGTCAGGAGATGGGATCTTTAATAACTTAGGAAGGAAACACTGCTCATCACATCTCTGTTCTCAACTTTCCTTAGACAAAGGCAGGTGAGGGTGATTTACATTCTATAAATGAATGGCCAAAAAAAAAAGTTGAAAAAACATAAAAAAGATGAATCACAGGATAATTTTCTTATTAAAAGAGAACAATCACTCTAGAGTGCAACCTCAATGGCTACATTTGATGGCAGGTATTTAGTTTACAAAATCTAAGGTGCCCTGAGTTGCAGGAGCAAAAGTGAATATATGAATCTTTGTGTCTCTGAGCTGCAGGGTTCGGATTCAATTGTTTAATTGGTTCTCTTTCTACCAGGGCTTTATAAACTTCCTCTCAGTTTTTGACAGGGTCACATTTACTCAACACCTGGTGATGGAGGTGCTATTTTCCTTTCTATAATGTGTTAAGTGTCTGAGCGTTTTTGTGGGTGTTTTTCCTTTGCATTTAACTTTAGATATGACGTCAGTCATTCACATTTCATAGTGAAGCCAAGCTCCGGATGTGAAATGTGAGAGAAGGAAAGAAAGAAAACAGAATAATAATTATTCTTCTCCATCCAGTTTACCCCAGTTGGCCCAAGGGATGAAAGTGTCTGTGTGTCCACACAGATGTGATCCATGCACACGCGCACACATGCGCACATACACACACACATACACACACTCTCTCTCCTTTTTTCACATTATCATCATCAGTCTCACAATGTAGGGAAAGGGGAAGGATGTAAAATGAAAGCCATTATATTTATAACAGTTTTCTTAGGGAGAGTTCAGGGCTATTTTGAGAAAAAAGGAACCACTTACATTTAAACACCTCAGCATCATTTCCCACCTCTCTAACACAATGAATTGTATCAATGTGTATTTTATCTTATTGTAATAGGTATTATATAAATTTTAAACTGAAATATTGTATTTTATATAATTTAAGTCTCTGCTTGAAGCATAAATATAAAAAATTATAAAACACCTGATTTGAATGTATTTTATAAAACAATTTGAGCCTCTCACTTTGAAGTCATGGATCACAGTGATTGCTTCCAGATTTTGCCAAAAGAAAACTTACTTAAGATGTGGGGACTGCACCTGAGAGGAGAGAGCATGCATGTACAAAAAGGAAGAATGATGTAATATATATATATATATATAATAAAATTATAAAAAAGAAGTAATTCCATCTACATTAATAGAAATAAAGCAAAAAGTATCATTCAAAATAAAATGATGTGGGGACTAGACTCAGGACTTTTTTTTTTACTTTGATGTTCTTGCTCCTACTACAGGAGCTTTTGCTCTTTTTCCACTGATCAACCCAGAGAGAACACCTTTCCTAAATGTCATGTGTCATATGCTATAAAACTTTTATGATAAAGTCACTAACATTTCTTAGTAAACTTGGGCTGGTGATTTTATTTTGATCCTAATTGTATGTTACAAGCACTAAGAATACAGATAGGCTGCACATGATTTGGTTTCACATTTTCACCAAAAATGTGCTCATGTGGAGTAAAGAAAACTTCGTTTCTTTCTTAAGGTATAAGGACAATATGTATCAAACTAAAACAATTTTATTTTTCAGTAAGGTGAAAATTAGGAGTAGCAACATTATTCATATGATGATAGATGCAGATTACAAAATACCATTTTTCAAAATATGTATGTTACATGAATTATTCTTTTGGGGGATTTATGCTTTTTTGGTCAAAAGTCTATTTTGTTTCCAAAGCTAAACTTGAATATTCATTAAAAATTCACATTATAAAAGAGGTTGGCAGTAAAATCAATGATTCTTCTTCTGTTTGTTCTTTGCTACTTTACTAAGGAGCTACTGATACTATTTCTGATTTCTATATGTTTATTGTTTTCTGCTGTAAAGGTATAAAGAGGTGTTATTATTTTCCAGCCCAGCATGAATCTTGGAAGTCATTTATCTCAGGAATTCAAGGTTCCGAAATCTTTTTCACCTCATCATTTGGGTTCCATTAGATTATTTAATTAGCTTAATAATATTATTATTGATCTGTCTTCCTGTATGGACTATAGCCACTTTCAAAGCCCTGAAGGGAAGGGAACACTGGGGAGGCAAGTGTTGAAAGAAGGTTTGAAGGTCAATGTGAATGAGACACTGAGTGTCGGCTCAGGCCAGCTGAGGCTGTGCTAGAGCACATGCGTGTGTGTGTGTGTGTGTGTGTGTGCATGGAGCAATAGCGGGAGATCACAGTACTTCTAAATTTTTTTATCCCTGACTTCCCTAGCTGAGTTACAGAGGCAGGGATCACAGCACAGAATAAGACATGGAAATGCCAAACACTCTGTGCTAAGAAAATGAATATTCACAAAATATACAAATGTGGCAAAAAGGCTTGATTTAAAATTAATTGCATGTGTTTATGGAGATACACTACCAACTTTCAAATGTAAGTCTTCTTGACAATTTTTCATGCCTTTGGTTTTTCACCAATAATGAGTTTATTTATATATCTTCATTATTAAGTCAGTTTCAGAAATAAATCTAAACTATGTTTAAGTGCTTTAGCCATGTAAGAAATGACTGTTTCTTATTAAGGAAATTTTTATGATGTGGAACTTTATTACATTAATTACATATTTAGATTTCCCCATGTTTCTCCTGTTTCCCAAATATTTTTTAAGACTTATTTATTTATGCATACAAGAACTGGGGTACAGGCCAGAGGTGTAGGAGGTGAACGGATTCACCATGGACAGAGTGGGGAGCAGAATAGGCAGATAGACTGAAACACACTGCTGAGGGGAGCAGCGGGTGAAACAGGAGAGGTTTCCTGTGCCCTGTGGGTATCTCCTTGGCTGGCCAAGGCTCGCACTTGTGCTGCAGAGGCTGGAGATAGCTTCTCTGTGCAGTACTTAACTACTTGCGTCACCAGGGTGGCCCCAAAATATTTTTTAAAAATTATTTTGATCTTTAGTCATTAAAACAAAGAAACTGATGCTGACCTTTTACCATAAACAAAGGAAGGCGTTGGCAGTTACAGTGACAACTTCCTGTATTGTGGTGCCAGAACATTCAGATGCTCGTGATTTTGCTGCTTCTGGTTCAGACTGTCCATCCATTCTCACCAGTACATAGGTGATATAAGAACATTGTTTGAATGCACAGTTTCCCTTTTTCTTTTACATTTTTCCTTCACAAACTCAAGATTGCTCAGCCTCGAGCTCAGTCCATGGCATGACCTCGATCTTCTGGAACAAGCACATGTGAGTCTTCCCTGCATGGAGTGGGGCATCTCTCCTCATGGCAGGTATGTTTAATCCAAAACAAAAAATAATAATTGGTAAATCATATTAATGGCATGCATTTGGCAAAAAGAAAGTGTGTATACTCTCACAGAAGAATAGATTTTTGTTTTCAGTTTCCTATGCATTGTCTTCATATTTTTAATGTTTCATTGGGAAGATGATGGGGTTTCCAAACCAAACCCTTTTTTTTTCAATTCTCTTGTGCTAGTTTCTGTCTTTGAGATCCTTGGCTCCTATTTCTTTCCTTGAAGTCATTACCCTACCTCTCTTTCTTTATAGGTTTTTGTACCACTCCATGGAGGTGGATTTCTGGGATCTTAGCAGTATTGTGTCTTTTGTTGATGGCTATTCTGGGAATTGTGTTGAAAAACTGTAAGTTTTCCTGGTCAAGTTTATATAAAATTCAGAGCACTGATGAATTCATTTAATAAAGCTTTCATTTACTAATGTGAAGTATTTTATTGTTTCACAAACTTGTATCTAATAGTTAATTTCTTATCATTTCTGATAGTATTTCCTAAAGCAGTTATTGAACCAACACGTTCTCCAGGAACCACCCCCATATCCCAGGAAGGTAAATTACATACTTTGTAAATTGGGGTTGATAGAGGATGAAATATGTAGTTTCCTGTTTTTCTCACACAGAATCATGATGGAAAATTGCGATCTTGTTATGCAAGTTGAGATATTAATTGCAGGATTGTCTCATTTCCTTGTCTTCCATTGTAAGAATTATTAAATTACTTGAATATGCATCATTTGTGTATTTAAATAAGGAAAATATTAAGGTGAAATAACCTAGTTTTTCCTACATGAGCAATCATACTCAAGCAATAAATAAATAATAAGTTCTATTATATATCCCAGTTAATTCTAATTGCTTAATTGTGTTTGCTCATAACCCATGAATTTATATCTATACCTTTGCTTCTGCTTCTCCCATGACTCAGAATGTAGTACACAGATTTCAGCATTTCAATGCACAATTTTTAATGTATTTTACCTAGTGAGCTTTCAAAGTTGTCTCAATATCTTCTGTGATTATTTCTCACTTTATTTTATTCTTTTTTCCTTCAATTTGTTTCTACTTGGGGATATAATTGAAACAGAATATTGTGTACATTTAAGACTCAACAGAAAAAACTTTTTAACTGCCTCTTGACCATCCAAGTTTATGTTCAGATAGATGTTCAAAGAATTTCCTCTTCTTTTTTCTTTTTTTTTTTTTAGCAACAATTTATTTAGGTACTTCTTGGGGCTGAAGTGGGCAATAGGTGTCCCCCTTAAGAATGGTATTACAAGTATGTACTTCTAGAATTTGTAAAATGTTTCTAATTGTGTCGGATCACAAGAATTTCATATATTTGAAATGTTTAAAATTTATGAATTTGTGCACTTACACTTGACATTATGAAGCATCAAGATAAATATTATAATGGATGTTCAACACTGAATTTAGTTTTTTAGAAAATTTTAGGGAAAAAACAATATTTTTATAGAAGTAAAGAGTATTAAAAAATCAGAATCTCCAATAACAAGAGTTATGCTATATATTTTTTTCTTAGACTCCTACTGGTGTTCTTGCCAGGAAAGATGGATCCTGTACAGCTGCAACTGTTACTTCATTTCCAGTGAAAAGAAAACTTGGCAAGAAAGCAGGGATTTCTGTGTTTCTAAGAACTCCATACTTCTTCAGATGTACAGCAGAAATGAATTGGCATGTATTTAATTCTGGTTTCCTACATATTTTTTGACCTAGGAATGTGTGCTATTTAAGTAAGCTGAATTGGATTCAATCTTTAATCAGATAATGAAGAATTTTTTTTGAACTAATGACTTCTTAACAGTCTTTAACTTAATCATTATAAAACCTATACAATTTTATCAAGGGATTTGATAAATCAGAGTTTTACTGTGAAAAAACTGGAAGAGAAATGTCAGATAAAGTACAAGAGATATTTTAGAGAGAATTCAAAGAGAATCTAATATATGAGTATTTTTCTAAAAAACTAAATAGCTGAATCTCAGTGCTTTCATTAATTGTATAATTTATTTCGTCATTCTGTGTATTTTGTCATCATTATGGGATATGCAATGAAAATGAAATGTATGCTCATAAAAATTACCCGGTTCTAAAGAAAAAGTGAAATGTTTCTCTAGCTGTATGCAGAATTTGTACTGAATATAGGTTCAGAAGATTTTACCCACAAAATCTATTCCCTAAGCTTCTGATGTAGAGTCAAATTTGCATGACGGACTCCTGTGAAGTAAAATTCTAACTCCCTTTATAATATGCTATATAATACATAGTAATATATATGATAGTCTTCATTCTGTGAAGACCTGAGTTTTTTATGTTATTTTCCCCCATAAGTAGATAGGGTTGATATTTGAGGAAAAATAGGCTTGTGATCACCCCCTAAACTAAGCATTAAAAACGTTTTTATGTGTGTATGATTGAAGGGCTGAAATCGATGTTGGACACTAAGTTTAAAAAACTAAGTTAAAAAACTAAGTTTAAAACACTAAGTTAAAAAAAAAAATTCTTCCAGAGTAGATTTAAATTATGCTAATTGTTATTTTTTTTCTGTCTCTAAGCACCACTTTATGAAATTCAGTAGAAAATTCTTCTGGATTGGAGCCACCTACAGTGAAAAACAACAAACCTGGGTGTGGCTGAATGGCTCTGCTCTCTCTCAAGATCTGTAAGTTTCACTGGGTGGGGGGGGTAAGGGGAGAGGGAACAACTAGGGTCAAAATAAGGGGGGGGGTTGCAATTTTATGGGGAAATAACCAAAATGATAATGCATACATTGTGCAAAAATGAAAAACGATTTAAGAATTGTATAAAATAGGGCCTCTCCGGTGGCGCAGTGGTTGAGCGCTGGGTTGCGAGGCTGCCCGCAGCCTTTGCAGCGCCGGTTCGATCCCTGGCTGGAGGATCGAACTAAAAAACTTAGTTTTTTAACTTAGTTCGATCCCCGGAGGAGGGTCCCACGTGGCGCGCAGACCTCTCCTGCCACCCGCTGCTCCCCTCAGCAGTGTACTTCGGTCCTTCTGCCTGGTCTGCTCCCCGCTCTGGCTCTGGTGAATTCTCTCACCCTCCCGCGCTTCTGACTGTACCCAGTCAATTAACATGGAAAACCCAGTCAATTAACATGAAATTTGTGTACTTGTGGCCATGAAAGAACTTGTGAGATAGGCTTTTTTGCTTTGATGGGTGTGGGTGGAGGCACAAATGTTATATTCACTGGAACCATCCAGTGAAAACAATGTCCATGATAACATTTTTTTGCTGGTGGTCAATAGGCTTAGCCTACATCCCCCTTTGAAAAGTTCTATTATTTAATAAAAACCCATCAATGAACATTCTCATTTCATTTTCCCATATGTTAATATTTTATTTGTCATTACAGATTGTCATCCCATAAAATTTCAAGTTCAAAGAACTGCATAGTATACAACCCAAATCTTGGTATTCAGGATCAATCTTGCATATGGACAAACTTCTGTATCTGTAAGCAAGAACTTATGTAGGTGTTTCTTGGGACAGAAGTGGACTATGAAGTTTCATCTTAAGAATGGTATTACAATTATGTACTTCTAAAATCTGTAAAATGTTTCTAATTGGGTCTGATTGTATGTATGAGTTTGACATATTTGAAATGTTTTAAAATTGATAAATTTGTGCTCCTATACTTAAAATTATAAAGCATCAAGATTAATATTGTAATGGATATTTCGATAAATGCATGTTCAACATTGAATTGAGTATGCTTTATTATATAATTTTATACAATCTCTCCGTAGAAATTTAAATAAAAAAGATTCACATTAAATGATATATATCAACATCACTTCAGTCTTTTGTATGCATACTAAATTTGGAAGAGACATTTTGTTTCCTGTTTCTTGAAATTAGGTCTTTCTGGATATCTGTATATTTATGTTTGATAATTGACAATTTTCTATTATGTGCCTTGGTGTATGACCTTTGCATTTAGATTGCTAGGTATTCTATTATTTTCATGAAATTGTATAGTTAGTTCTTGCTTAGTCGTTGTGATTGCAATGCTAAATGAACTTCACCCGCTGACATCTTTACAGACTACACACCCATCTCCAAGCTACTGAGCTCAGACACTTAGGACTACAACTCCCAGCATTCCTTGAATCTGGCTTCCTTTACAGGGTCCACTTGGAACTTGGGGAGAGTTAAGCAGACATATTTGCCTTAAAACCTAAGCAAACATGGGCCTCCCTGGTGGCGCAGGTTGAGCGCTGGGCTGCGAAGCTGCCTGCAGCCTCTGCAAGGCCAGTTTGATCCCTGGCCATTGGCGAGGGTCCCACATGGCGCGCAGACCTCAGGAGTGTACCTCTGTCCTTCTGCCTGTTCTACTCCCTGCTCTGGCTCCGGTGAATTCTCTCACCCTCCCGCTCTTCTGACTGTACGCAGTGCTTCTATAAATAATAAATTAATTAATAAAAAAAAAAACACTGAAAATGCGAGCTGTCACTCTTTTGCTTTTCCAGATTTGACTTACACCCTGGCGTCTCACCTCAGTTGATACTTTTGGTAGGAAATATCGGCGGGGGGGGGAGGGGGGCAGGGATTGGGGTCAAAATAAAGGGGTTGCAATTGTTTGGGGAATATAAAAACAAAATAAAATAAAAAAGAAATATCCAGTTGATCTCTCTCCCTCTCCCTATCCCTTTTTCTATCCCCTTGTAAATAAAACATTTTAAACGTTCTCTGTGGTTTCTGCTTTTCAGTCTCATCCCATGTCCTAAAACATAAGGGTGAAGACATACGCAGGTCACCCACATAGCCCTGGGGTTGTCCACCTCTAACAACTTGGTGCCCAATAGTAGGGATATCATACATCACACATAGGGCCCCTCCTTGTGTTGGTCACTGCAAGTTCATTAAGATTGTGTGACTTGCAGTGGAATTTTTCTGTCTCTGATTTGAAGAACTTGTTTTTACTTCAGTAAATTTCTCTCTGTGTTGATCTAGATAGGGGTTCAATCATTAGTTTAAGCAGTTCTTCATACTTTTCTTTAAATATTGATGTATGTAATCTTGTAAGGTCTGGTACATGGAAGAATATTTTGGTGTTGTGGAAAGTCCTGTGGGCATATGTTGGGACTGAGTTTCAAACTTCAGTTAGGATTCAATACTTCATTTTCAAAGTCCTTGGATATTGAATTTAAAGAAGGACTTTTGATTCTTGATAAAATAACCAAGGATTTAATTCACAGATTGCAGGACAAGTAATCCTTTTCTATTCTTCCTAATATTTAGCTCTTAGTTTCTTTTTTAATGTGATAAAACTTTTATAATAAAGATAGTTATTTTGCAGATGGACTGAGAGTTCACGCTTATATCCAGAAATGCTTCAAGGTCAGTTTTTGGCTGTTGGCAAAAATAAGGACAGTGAACTAACTAAGAAGATGTGGTAACTTGATTACAGTTCAAAATTCCTTGTGGTACCTAGGGACAATTTAATATTTGAATGTCAGCTTGCAATTTAGACAGTTATTTCTGTGCCTGTTTCTGTTTGATGGGACTCTGGATGAAACTTCTCATTGAGGGCCTCCCCTGTGGCGCGCTGGGCTGTGAAGCTGCCCGCAACCTCTGCAGTACAGGTTGGATCCCCGGCAACCAGGCGAAGGTCCCACAGGGCGCGCAGACCTCTCCTGCCATGCCCACTGTTTCCCTCAGTGTACTTCCTCAGTCTGCCTGTTCTGCTCCCTGCTCTGGCTCTGGTGAATTCTCTCACCCTCCCGCACTTCTGACTGTGCCCAGTGCTTGTATAAATAAATAAATCTTTAAAAAGAAAAAAATAAAGTTTTAAAAAAATTAGAAACTTTTCATTGAGCTCTCCTGAAACCACTTTCAGGACACAAATATCAGCAGCTTAACCAGAGTTGAAAATAAATAAATAAATAAATACATAATACATACATATATATTTTTCACCAGAGTTGACATATATATATATATATATATATATATATATATATATATATATATGTCTCCATGTAAATATGAATGTCGGGGAGCTTGTTCCTGGAGGTTTCATGGCTCCCACTGCTAAAATGAATTCTCTTTCTCCTGCTGGCTCATTTTATTTGCCTTTATTTAAACACAGGTTACTTGAAATAATCTTTGGAAACTTACAGTTTCATTCCATTTCATAAATTGGAAATCATTTTAATATTTAAATACACTTTCTAATTTCATAATTTTTTATACCTTTTGAACTTTGAAAATATAAATTCTAGTACTTGGAAATCTCTCTTTAAAGAAAGTAGATAGAAATTTTTTTTCAAACTTTTGGGTCAATCTGTTGAACTCTTCAGCTCTGGCACTATTATTAAAAAGTAGACTTAGATAATAGATGAATGGTTTGTTTTACAAATAACTTATTTACAAAAACAGATGTGACACAAATTTGGGAACTTTCTGGTTTCTTCTGCTATGGATTTCTACTTTCATGCCATTGGATAAAAAAAGAAATAAAGTTACTTGTTTGATATCAGTATCTTTAATGTGTTAATAATAGTTTTGGGACTCCCTGGTGGCGCAGGCTGTTGAGCACCACACCGTGAAGCTGTTTATAGCCTCTGCAGTGTGGGGCTTATCCCTGCTGGCTGGCGACAATCCCACACGGTGCGGTAGACCTCTCTTGTTTTGCCCGCTGCTCCCCTCAGCAATGTATTTTGTCAGTCTGCCTGTTCTGTTCCCCGTGCTCTCTCTGGTGAATCCTTTCACCCTTCCACACATCTGGCCTGTACCCTGGTTCTTGTATAAAAATAAATAAATCTTCAAAAAAAAAAGAGTAGTTTTATTACATATCTTACCTTCAATCTAAAAATTAAAAAATCAAATAAAACCACACAAATCCTGCTCTCTCAGTATCTCTAGAGATACAGCTGCCTCAACCTTCAAATCATATGCAGGACATAATACATGAAAAACCTTATTTGCAATGGTGAAAAACTGATGAAGTATTTGGAAATATACTTAACAAAGGCTGTTCATAATGTTTATGAAAAATATGTGAAAGGTTTCAGAAAGATAAAACAGTTGAGTTTAGAAAGGTAAAGACATCTGTTTTTGGATGAGACCATAGCTTAAGTTAATTTATATCTGTGAAGTGATCCCAATAAACATCCAATGACTGATGGGACTGAACTAATTGACATTGAAGTTCATGTGAAAGCAGTCAATGGACTATGTAGATTACACAAGCTGAGCTCTGAGGAATGACTGTCTACTAATATTGAATCAAATTTCAAATTTCCCCATTTATAACACTTTTCTGGCTAGTAACAAGAAATAGACAGACTAATGGAATAGAATTAAAAGGCCAAAAGTAGTCTCAACTACATAAAGAAATTCTATATGAAAAGACACTACTGTCAAACATGGGCTTCTTAATAGATATTCTGTCACACATCTGTATAGTCACTTGTAAAGGTTAAAATTGGATATATTCCTCATATGTAGGAAATAACTTCAAATGGCTCATGGATCTTATAATATTAAAGGAATATGCATAGATATGTGAAGAAAATCACAATCATTACTTTCTGGAGAAAGAATTCTTAAATTATCCTAAAAAATAAATATAATGACTGTAAAGATAGGAAGATCTGGCATAGCAGAAAACACCTAAAGCAAGGTCAAAATACACATGAAAACTTGGAAAAATATCTTCAACATACATTACAGATAAGATGAAAGAATGATTAAAACCTGAGGGGAAAAAAATCAAAATTCTTTTTAAAAATGGTCAAATCCCTGTGGAAAGTTAATTTGAAAAGTAAAATGGCAATGAAATTCCAATTCTCATCTCTCAGTTAGGCAAACATTTATAAAGCTGATGAAGTTTGAGGAGAAAACACATTTTTATATGTTGCAGGGGGGAATGCTAAATGGTACACCATCATGGAGGGAATTTTCTTCCATCTCCTTCCTTTCCCTGCCCTCCCATGCCCACTGCTCCCTGACTCGTATTTTCTCTTCTCTTCTACTAGATTCCTTTCGCCTGGCCTCCCTGGTGTGCAAGGGTTAAGGACACAGTGCTATCATTTTTTTTTTTTTTGCTTTATGCCAATGAGGTAACTCTTGAAAAAGGACAGCTCTTGATGTAATTGCAACTTAAATCTGCATTTATGAGAAATATTTTATGAAAAATGGTGCTGACATTTGTGTCCATTTAGATATCATTTTCTGTGCAATAGCTATTAAGTCTTTAATGATTTTTAAAAAAATAAATATAGTGACAATACACATGTATACACAAATATATACAAATACATATACACACACAAACATAAATACACACACATATTGACTTAATCCATATATATAACCAAAAGCTGAAATTTGGAACTGTCATATAAAAAGAATTACTAAGGCATTTGATGAAGGAAGTAAAATTTAGTACTACAGGGCACAGGTTTAATAAGTTAAAAATTAACTCTGTGTCACAAATTGATAGTCTAAAATGTATCACTATTTTGGCTATCTGCAGTGGTGAATTGGAAAAATTGAATGGTAATAGGTCATTAGCTAGCAACATATAGCATATGATTGCTGAAAACAAAGGAAGAAAACATGAACACAATAATAAGCATTGAAATTGTTAGAAAAAGAATTAGAATTCTAATGATAAAATAAAAGGTCCATGTAATATTTCATATGGACTTTATTTAAATTATAAGAAAAATTTGCTGCTATCCAATTCAAATATTGTAGAACCTCTAAATAGAGGTGATGTCTCCAATTTATTTTGTGCAAATCACAAATATTTACCAACAATTGATAATTAGAGGGCCTCCAATTGCAAGTTGATCCATTTGTGAATGAAAATGCAAAAGAGACTATCAGAAAATCCTCTCAAAATTTCTTTGATAAAATTTGGCAAACATATATAAAATAGTAAGAGTTAACGCTTGCCTCTTTCCAGGATATTATATATACTCTCCCAAAAGATCAGATATTTTCTTCAAAATTTCAGGTAATTATAATTTCCCAGATATTTATTCTATGTCTCAATATCTTTTTTTTTAAATAATTTTGAGGGAAATGAGATTGAAGGAAACTAAAGGCATATACATTTGAAGACAGAAGATTTAAATGTGTGGGATATATATATATAGCTACAAATTATACATTTGCATATAGAACTTTCAAGATCTATACCTATAATTTATGTCTCTCCTTGAAAAGACAGTAAAATATGACTTACAGATAGGGAAAGAGGACATAGAGAAAACGACAAGAGAAAAATATTTAAAAGGAGATGATAGGAGGCAAATTAAGTGTGCGTGAGCTTAAGAAGCTATTTTGGATATTTTTAAAATTAATTGTATTATTATTTTACTGTATTTTCAATTTTTTAAGTTTTTTAAACTAGAATTGCCTGTAATGTATTAAAATTTAAGAAAATTAATACTAATGAACAGTTCAATTTTCCAATGTATGTAGTTACCATTAGATTTTTGTGGAAAAATTTTATACTAATAACTAAGCAAACAGAAGAATCTCAAAGGAACAAAATTTTATATTTGCTGTAGTGGGGAGTGAACATTCCTTCTCCAGAGGCATCTTGTCTCCATCACAGTCCTCAAATCAGGAATTTCTGGCTTCTATGGATTTGATGTTTGTTCCTCAAACATCACTATTTGTCACTTTTACCTTAACTATCAGGTCACGTGTGGTCCCCAGCTATCCACGCTACACCCACAAATCATGGCAGTCCCTTAGAAGAACTGTGCCACAGAAGGGGGTCTCCTAGTTCTTCTGAAATTTTCTCCTCTTTCCATGAGTACCCAGTAGAAATCAACATATTCTGTTGGAAAGAGAATGGACTCACCTTGCTCTACAGATAAAGGGATTCTAATCTTAAAATAACTTGCTCACCCCTCAGAGACTTTGTTAAAATTCTCCAGTGCTTCATGGCTGCCTCCTTTTCTCCTCTGATTTGAGAAGTGTAGTAGAGTCTGTGTTCTGTCACTCCATGGGCACAGGTGATGTCTCTTTAGAATTCAGTTCAACGTAGTGCTTTTGAATTGTGCTTTCTCACTCAGAATGAATAATGACTTTGCAAACTACCTTGCTTTTCCTTCTTTTAGGTGTGAGCTGTGTTGCACACCTAAAAAAGAAGCTGAACTCAGGGAATTTTAGACTTGATGTAACAGGCTTATTTACTTCTTTTCTAGATCTTTCTACTTCATCTTCTTCATGGAAAGTCCTTGCAGTGATTCTGAGATCATTTGCCTGGCGCTACTTGTGTCTGCTGGATTCTTAGCTATGAAGTGTAAGTCACTGTGTAACATAGAAATACACTTCTTTTCTATTCATATTGAAAAATCTCTTGACAATAATGCATTTTTGATCCACTCTATTCCTTGACCATATAAAATAATCTCTATAGAGACTGAATGTG